TGCTCTCTGTCCCCTGCCTCTCCCCCGGTAGGATTCTGAGCGCCGAGCCCACCGCTGCCTCTTGGCCCTGACTCTCCGTGCCCATATGTCCATCTGCAATAAAGTCCAGCCCCAACTGCCTCTCGTGTGTGTCTGTGCGTGTGTGTAGAGATGCCTCCCTCCCCACGTCTATTAGAGGAAGTCCTTCTTGATGTCTGCCCTTAGTCCACCGCTGAGTGGACCGGGCAGCCTTCTCCACTGTCCTAGGGGTGTAGGCAGCCGTCCCCCCTTTGCTCCCATGTAGGTTTTTGATTGGTGTGAGGAGCCACCAGCCGCTCTCCGGGAGAAAGATGGCGCTTTCTATGTCTGCGAAGAGTTCACCGTCAAGGAAACCCCACGGGGGCAGTGCTGCCAGGTCCTGTAGGGTGGCTGTGAGTCATCCCCAACTGGCTGGTAGTGAGTTTGGTTGGGTTTGGGTTTGGGGGTGGGAAGAGGAGACTTTAGTCTGGTGCTTGAAGGTCAGACAGCGTGAAGGACTCCCAAGGAGGACTCATGCTTGCAGTACAGGATGAATTGTCTACTGGGGAGATGCCAGGGACCTACCCTGTCATACAGCACAGGAGACGGCGGGAGAGGTGGGGTGATAGTGTGTATGAACTGGGGTTCTGAGAGTTGCAATCGGTCCAGTTCAGGGGTCCAGGGCCCAGAGGAAGCCACTCAGACCTCTCAGGGTGCTGCTGTCAGGTGCCATGGAGCGAGTTCCTCCTCTAAGTGACCGAGGGAGACAGGGTAGAGCCGCCCTGGGGGGTTTCAGCACAGTGGGGGAGAGATGGGGCAGACAGTTTGCAGGAAGATGACAGCCCGTGGGCAGTTCTCTGTCCTGTCCTGTAAGGGGCTTGTGAGTCGGGATCAACTTGAAGGCAATGGGTTTATCGCGCTTGTTTTTTTGTCTTTTGTTTTTGCCCTGTCAGGTGGTTGGTGTGTTTGAACTGTCATCCTTTTGCTTAGCAGCTGAGCGATTGAGGGCTTCTGCCCGATTGAGGAGGGAAAGACTGTCCCTCTTTAACCACCCAGAACCAAAAACCTCACTGCCATTGATTTGATTCTGACTCACAGTGGTAGGATTGTAGGACACAGTGGAACTGCCCTTGTGAGGTTGTGAAATGAACTCGCTTATAGGAGTAGGAAGCCTCATCTTTTTCCCCACAGAGAAGTCAAAAGCTGAGTCGGTGCTGCCCCTGGGGCCTGCAGTGCTGTGGGAAGGTTTAGGCGCCTGCTGAAGGACTTGGAGGGGGTTAGCCCCATTTTCCCACCCTGGAGACTGAGGCCTGCCTCTGAGCAGGGCCTGGCATGTGGGGAGCTGGCTTTCTTTCCAGCCTTCCCCTAAGCTGGAAGCTTCCCCAGAGAGTGAAGCTGAGCCTCCTCCACCCGGCTGGAACCTGGTGACTTGGTTTCTCCTGTCCTCTCTCTCTCACCACTGCCCTCTCTCAGCAGAAGGAGTACCTAGAGTAGAATAAAGGACAGTGCTGAGGCCAGCAGTCCTTTATCACCAACACAGGCTAGTGGTTAGGGCCACAGACTTTGGGGCCAAAGTACTCAAGTTCAAACCTCAGCTCTTCCTCTCAGTAGCTGTGTGCCTTTGGGCAAGCCGCACAACCTCTCTGAGCCTGTAAAATGAAAATAGCAAGAGTTATGTAGGCTCCGAGGATTAAATGAGCTAGTGATATAAAGCCATTAGAGCTGCATAGGAAGCTCTCTCTCTCTCCACCCTTATCCATCCTTCTAAACTCACTGCCATCAAGTCAATTATGACTCACAGTGACCCTATAGGACAGGGCAGAACTCCTATAGGTTTCCAAGACTATAACTCTTTTTTTTCTTAAATTTTCTTGGCACATAATTTACATAGCAATACACTTCAGTAGTTCAATCATTCAATTATATCAAGGAGAGTTGTACAACCATTACCATATCAATTTCAGAACCCCACCCCCACCCCCAAGACTGTAACTCTTTATGGGAATAGAAAGCTTTATCTTTCTCCCAAGGAGCAGCCGCTGGTTTTGAACTGCTGACCTTGTTGCCAGTGCAAAATGTAACTCAACCCCGCTTGGATTCTGTGGGATAAATTAGTTCAGAGTCCTAGAGCCCAGCAAGTGGTGCAATAGAGGAGAGACCTCTCCCTACTGTCCCCACTAGCCACACATCCCCTTTCTGCACCTCAGCTTTCTTCTTCCAACCCTATCCACCCCGGGCCCTCCCCCTCTCCTCTTCCCTTCTCTCTTTTTCTACCTGTGCATCTTATGTCTGACTCTCTGATGCCTCTCATTATTGTGTCTCCGTGTCTCCCTGATGCTGCTCATCACGGTCTCTAGGTGTCTCTGTTTGTGTCTCTGTAATGCTGTCACCTTGAGGGCTCAGGAGCGCCTGGCCCCAAGCCAGGCCATTTTTCCAATGGCCGTGTGCATGTGGAAGCTGGACAAGGAGTAAGAAACCCTGGGAACAGTGGAAGCGTTGGAATGAGGGGGCTGGCAGAGAGCATCACTACCCCGGGGACAGCCAGAAGAACAGACAAGCCTGTCTTGGAAGAAGTAGAGCCGGAACGCTCTGGCGAGTCTTCCTTGGGGCATGTCGCCGAGAGGGTCCCGTCCCTGGAGAAGGACATCGTGCTTGGTCAAGTGGAGGGTCAGTGAAAAAGAGGAAGGCCCTCAAGGAGATTGGGGGGACACGGTGGCTGCCACCAGGCCTTCCAACACAGGAGTGGCTGAGAGGAGGGGGCAGGACCAGGCAGTGCTCCGTTCTGTCTTAGATACTGTGCGTCAGTACCAACCCAAGACCGAGGACAAGAGTGGCCTCTCCCTATGTCTCTCAGTACTGTCTCTCACTCTGAATCCCTGACTCACTGTCTTTTCTCTGTTGTTCTCCCCACAGTGTTCTCTCTAGTTCTC